CGATAAGCAAAAGTCTCGCTATGGTTACGACGGTATTCTTATCACACGTCCTACGCTCTACAATGTCCTTCTATCTCATGTCCCCAAGGAAAAGGTCCACTGGGGTAAACGTATGATTGGATTCAAGCAAGACGAGCACAGTGTCGAAATTGAGTGCGAGGACAACCTGGACTCGTCTTCTTTAGAGAACAACATCAAGAAGACGATCATGTACAAGGGCGACATTTTGATCGGCGCAGATGGCGCATACTCGTCGGTTCGTCGCAACATGTATCAGAGCATGCAGGATGAGGGTATCGTGTTGCCCACGGAAGATTTAGCACCCCTGAGATTTGATTCCGACTGTGTGGTGGGAGTGACGGATGAGGTGTCTCCAGAGGACTATCCAGCCTTGAAGTCCAAGAATGGAGACTTCTACGTTCTCATTGGCAAGGAGAAAGCCATTCAGGTACGGAAAAAAGATGCATTTTTCTATTTTATTTTATTTTTCCGTTTCTCGGCAGTTGTATTTGAGATTATGTTGCTGATAACATTCTACTACCATCATCTATAGGTCTATCTTTTCACATTTGCAGAGAATCGTCTCGGTTGGCACATCTGCGTGCGCCTGGACAAACCCGAGGAGCACAACGAAAAAGACTTTCGCTTTAGTGACTGGGTATGCACCGGTTCTTTCCTCCCCTTGGCGGCCACAACATGAAGTATGTAACATCTCATTCTTATGCACACTCTTCCTATTGTTCCAACAGAAACCTGCAGTTGCTGATGAATTGTGTGATTTGGTCCGTCACTACAAAAGTCCGTTTGGCGGTACGGTGGGAGACATGATTGACCGGACTCCCAAGGACCGTCTGTCCAAGGTCATGCTAGAGGATAAGTACTTCTCGACATGGTACCACAAGCGAACTGTGTTAATGGGTGATGCCTGCCATAAACACTTGCCTTTTGGTGGTCAGGGCGCCAATCAGGCTATCCTAGATTCGGTTCATTTGGTAAACCAGCTGTACGACATCCCCTCTTCCTCTCTGCAGGATGTAGAAAAGTCGTTCAAGGCCTATTATGAGTACCGCAGCCCGAATGCCAGAGAGGTTTTCAAGAGCACTTCGCTTGTCGCTACCATCTTGAGCTCTAGAGTAAGGATGGATGGCATGGTTCGACATCCCTCGAGGTATAGATGAAAAGTTGAGGCAGTGGACATGTTATTTAAGACTCATCTATCTCTCATACTCCTTGTTGTCTATAGGGTCTTATTTCTGACATGGTGCGATTTGTGACATTAGGGCACTTGCCAGACTTTGTGAGCAACGTGGGCATGGATGGCATGAACACGGATCGTCCATACCTCTGTTTTCTCCCACCGCCTCCTGGCAAGGGTTCTGTCCAGCCCAAGCCCCAGGCTATCCCTGTTCATTACAAGGGTGACCCTATCGCGACTCCAGTGTAGGGCTATGATAGCGACGGTTAGACCTATTAAAGAAAGATGTTACCCCAGAATTTAAATACAGGAAGTGTGTGCACAAAGCGCCGAAAGCAAAAGTCGATAACGAACAATGCGTTTCATCATTGTGTCGATTTTTTCAGTCGTTCACTCTTTTATCCCTTTTTTTTTTATTTCTACCTTCCTTCCTAGAAAAAATATGTTCAGAAATCTGGTGTTAATAGCTATTCCGATATTATCTATTGTCCCCCCCACCAAAATAACAACAGACAATTTTTATGGCAGCACAGACGCGACCGCCTTTTCCATTACCGCCCGATCATAGATCCTGGATTCTATATTACAGGCCGCCAACATCGCAACATCCAAGGACGTCCCCCTGTGTAAGCAAGGCGCATAGGAAGTACGATTACTGGAATAGCGGATGATCATCCCTTGGAATAAGCTATAAACATTGTCAACATGCCTTACTTGTTCCTTCTTTGTTCCTTTTCCTTGCTTCTTTGCTTCACTTCGCTCTCACTTTATACCTCCCCTACCTACGCCATAAACAAGCAACATACACCCACACAGAAGAACACCCCATGCGCACTCTTCTCTGTATCACAGCAGTCTCTGCTGTACTCTTGGCCTGTACCCATTCCACTGCTATTGCAACAGAGACTGAAGGAACAGCTGAAGTAGCAGCCGATACTGCAGTTTGGCCAGCACAAAGGGCATTACCTCAGCCACAAAGCCCTCTCTCGGGGAAACGTGCGCCCAGTCCACTATTATCACCACCACACGGTAACAAACAAGCACCGGCATCGACGCCTCCCTTCTCTGCTAAGGAACAAACATTTCAACTACAACACATCCTAGCACATGGAGCACCCAGGTCCAAGTTCTCAAAGACCTTCCGACGACTGGCTGTGGATCACAAAATGCGCCTCGAAATGGCACAACAGCGGAGCCAAGGACAGAATGTATGGAATGGTATGGATCTGTATGATGAAGGGCATCCAGAATCTGTATTTGAGCACTCGCTGTCGGATACTCGTTTTCCACTTCACAGCACCAACGATGATAACAACAAAAATAGCGTTGAGAATGGCAGACATTTGAACCTGCATAGCCGAAAGTTAGACCCGCTCCCAACGTCACAGCGCGTCCCGGATGCGCGGGATCACAAGACGGTAGTATCGATGGTCCGGATGGCGCTCGATGCCTATGTGGATCCAAAAGAACAAGGATGGGTGGATATTGGCGATGGTTGGGAAGTCGGAGCCTCGTTTGGTTGGTTGGAATCAGGGCTGCGAGGATATATCTTTGTAAGTGAAGACCAAACGACAGTGGTCGTTGGAATTAAAGGCACATCGCTACAGCTTTTTGGGACTGGAGGCGGACCGACGGCCAACAATGACAAGCTGAATGTGAGTTTCCATTGCGCGAACTATGTCTTTTTTTTTTTTTTTAATGATACCTCATGAACTTTGTGTGTTTTCTCAAGATGACATTGTTAACCTCCTTTTCGATTGTGTGGTACCTTTAGGACAACCAAATGTTCTCATGCTGCTGCGGAAAAACTGACAGTACGTGGTGGTCGATGTGTGGATGCTCCCTGGGTGGAAATCAGTGCAGTCAGCAGTGTCTTGCCGATGATTTGAAGAAGGACCGTGATCAAGGCGAGAGCTACTACGACATGGGACTGGTGAGAAAAATGGCATCCTTTTAATAAAACTCCTATCCTGACTGCACTGACTTGCCCATAAAGCTAACCTTCCTTTCTTCTTCTCCTTCTTCTTCTCCGTCTTCTTGTTTCACAATATTACAGAAACTTATCGAGACTACAAAGACACTATATCCAAAGGCGAGCATCTGGTTGACTGGCCATTCACTGGGAGGCAGTGTGGCATCGATGATTGGAATCACCAAGGGTTATCCAACCTTTACATTCTCGGCTCCAGGAGATGTTCGGTTTGCTCAAAGGCTTGGAATCGTACCGCATAAACTCTCAAAACACAAATTGGCAAGTCAACCTGTTTGGCAGTTTGGACAAACTGGTAAGAGAGAACCATGACAGGCTGAGGGGGTTTTTTTTCCTCTCATGAACAACACCGTAGCTGACAGAAGATCACCTTGTACCTTGTACCTTTTTTTTTTTCTTGACATGCAATAGCCGACCCGATTTTTATGGGCACTTGCAATGGTCCTACATCGATTTGCAATTCCGCCGGGTTCATAGTCGAGACGAAATGTCATTTGGGCAACACCTGCATCTATGATACCATAGAGGGGCTAGGCTGGTCACAGAACATTCAGGCACACGCGCTAAGCACCTTTATCAGCATGGTCGAGGACTGGGGCAATATGACCAATGGAAGCGCGAAGGTTCCAACATGTGCACCTCAAGCTGACTGCCAGGATTGCACACAATGGGAGTATGTGTGAATGCAAATAAAAAAAATAAAAAAAGTAAAGAAACTAGCAAGCTAAGTCGGCAAGGACACACGGCGCGCGAAAGAGAGATATTGTCTGATAGTAGATAGACGTCTTGAACAAACTAAGAGGGTATGAATAAATTCTTGAGAGAAAACATATTCTGACACCCTCCGTCAAGACTTTAATATCCTGTGCTTGCAGAAGATAACCTCACAGGGTATTTTTTGGCGTCCTTCTTCTATGTAAGCATGGGGTCCATTCGGCCATGAGCCGCAAGCAGGACAAGCTGGACAGGCTACAGCCGCGTAGTATCTCGGCTTCACATTCCTCATTCTTCGGCACCCCAGTTTCCAATCCCTCATCTTCAAGCAATATGACAGTAAATATTGATAGTGGGAACGATCACGGACACTATCCTATATTGTGAATAAAGCTATCGCGCTGTCTCTGCCCTTGACTCTATCTGTTCCTCCTCCTAAGCGTCAATTTGCTGGATGCATCTCATTAATCTATACTCGCTCCACTACATCACCATTTCTTTAAAAAATATGTGCACAGCCTCTCATCTCGACGCGCCAAAACGAAAAAGGCATGGTACGCCAGACACTAATGACTCACTACCCACCTTGCTCTTTCATCGCCAGCAGCAAGAATCTTTTTCGGTGATCTTTCTATCACTTGTGAGAATGATCGCTGCCGTCTGCTTTCTGCCTTGTCTCTCCGACAGCCACGCGTTTAGCAATGAGCAAAAAAAAAGGTTGCCCGTTATTTTTCATCTCTGCTTGGCAGCGGTGATCATGGCTGAGATAAAAAATAGAAAAAGGACCAGGTGCAGTAGTCCGTCGGGTCACTTCATCGTAAGAAGCGGCAGACAAAATTAGAGAAAAAAAACCCCCCCAGAAGGAGTTACGCATCCACTCGTTCTAGATAAATAAAAATACTTGTAGTCTTCACTCTCTCTGACAAGTCCGTGTTAAACCTTTCCCATCTCAAAGAGGCGACAACTCCCCTCAGTAAGAATAAATGTCTCTCTTTTAGTAAAATGAATGGCTACAGCATTTGCACTCTACTCTTGGGTTAGTCCAAGACCATGAAACCGCGAACAGATTTGTTCCTGTTGCTCAAAAAATAAAAAGAAACTTGGAGAATGAGAGACTTGAACTCCCGACCTTCCGCTTTGGAGACGGACGCGCTGCCAATTGCGCCAATCCTCCTGGCTTTGAAAGTCTAGTAGATTTCAACATTTTATAATGAATAGTATAATTAAGGTTTAATGCACCTTGGCATCTCCCTCGGGGTCGTTTTTGAATGGCTTTCGAGAGTTCCGGGCGCTCTGGGACGGTGGTGGCGGCCCCCCTGGAGGATAGTACCACGCTAATAAAGCCCACACGTCCCCGTGGGTCCTAGTTATCAAAAAAAAAAAAAAAAAATAGGGACGGTGGTGGCGGCCGGGAAGTGAACGAGAACGGACGACGTGCTTGGGCAAAGGAGAGAAAGCAGTGGGAGGCAAAACAAAAGAGTGAAGAGGG